CCTCCAGCATATGGGGTCAGGGCCCTACCCCTTTGACCCAAGAGTTGGAGGTTGCTGTGAGCTGTGACGCCACAGCATTCTACCCAGGGCAACAGCTTGAGACTGTCTCCAAAAAAAAAAAAAAAACCTAAAAATTTTTTTTGTGGAAGGTTGGGTGATTAGTGTTAGCAGATTGGGGGACTACAGGTGCCTGCTACAATGCCCAGCAATTTTTTTGTTGCAGTTTGGCCAAAGCCAGGTTTGAACCTGCCACTCTCAGTATATGGGGCCAGTGCCCTACTCACTGAGCCACAGGCGCCACCCATTTTTGTTTGCTCTTTAAAATTTTAGATACAGGGTCTCACCCTGTTGGCTCAGGCTGGAGTGCAGTGGTAAGATTGTAACTCATTACATGTAGCCTTGAACTCCTGGACTTAAGCAATCCTTTTGCCTAAGCCTCCTGAGTGCTGGGTTCACAGGCATTCAGCACCATGCCTGGCTAATTCTTAACTGCTTTTTTTTTTGATAGTGCTTAAGGCACCAGCCACATACCAAGGCCGATGGGTTGGAACCCAGCCTAGGCCAGCTAAACAACAAAGACAACTGCAACAATAAATAGCCAGGTGTTATGGTGGGCGCCTGTAGTCCCAGCTACTTGGGAGGCTGAGGCAAGAGAATTGCTTAAGCCCTGGAGATTGAGGTTGCTGTGAACTGTGACACCATCACGCTCTACGGAGGGTGACATAGTGAGATTCTGTCTCCAAAGAAAAGGAACAATTAAGTCCTTAGGAAGGAATTTGTGGATAATTTCTGTTGTTCAGAAGTGACACTTTTCAAAACCTAATAAAGGCTGTTTAACAGGCTCAGTAATAGGGAAATATACAATCTGAAAGCAATAGATTGAGGTCAAGCCAAAGGATTATCAGTGAGATTGTCACTCAGGACAATGATAGGGAATAGAGTAAGAGTTGGCGAATAAAGGTAGAGCATCATTCTTTTTTGTTGTTATTTGAGAGAGAGTCTCAAGCTGTCACCCTGGATAGAGTGCTATGGTATCACAGCTCACAGCAACCTCAAACTCTTGGCATCCCAGCTATTTTTTTATTGTTATTGGCTGTTGTCATTGTTTAGCTGGCCTGGGCCAGGTGCGAACCTGCCAGCCTTGATATATGTGGCCAGTGCCCTAACCACTGACCTATGAGTGCTACCCTCAAGCATCATTCTTTTTTTTTTTTTTT